ATAAATCCAGAAGTTAATCAACTGTAGACTCTTGAGTCTTATAAATCCAGAAGTTAATCAACTGTAGACTCTTGAGTCTTATAAATCCAGAAGTTAATCGATTATAGACATCCATCCAATGATTACTTTCTGACAGTTTCATTGGGATTCATAATATCTCATCAGATATTTTCCTAACAGACAAGCAGACGGTTTACCTCAATAGTTAATGCCAATATTTTGAACAAAGGTCTCGCACTAACTGTTAGTGCTCAGAGTATGTGTTGGAGATTATTCCCAACTACTACCACACCAGAGTTTAGCTTGGCGTCTGTAAAACGGACAGATTCATTACCGTTTTGTTTTTGCATGCACTGATGAGCTGTGGCAGCTGTCTCAAGTCAGGCAGGCTCCAAAAGTTCTGTACTTTCTGAAAGTTTCTTTAAACTGTGTTCTTAATGGCTGTTCTTCTTCACTGAATGTCTTCAGGTGCTCTGCGATTACCAGATAAGCCAAAGCAGCTTCTGCAACTCAAACCGATCGACCGTAAGCCTCTGGAATCTGTGGTTCGCTACTTGGGTAGGAAGACGTCCCTCACCTGGTGCACCAGGATGTTGAGCTCTTTGAGTTGTGATCGGTGTTGCATGATGCTTCTAGATCAGTCATGTCTTTTATGTAGTTGCAGTCAGATGTTTTCATACACCCATGGGCGTGGATGTTGTGTAAATTGGTGCTTTTATTTAAAGTCCGATTGAAATAGACATTTTGGTTATCATTGATACGATATGTCCCCAAACCTCTATATGGGCCCTTCCAGTACATATCGTGGGGCTCTACATATAATGATTTATTTGAAACCAGTATATATCGTGGGGCTCTACATATAACGATTTATTTGAAACCAGTATATATCGTGGGGCTCTACATATGATTTATTTGAAACCAGTATATATCGTGGGGCTCTACATATAATGATTTATTTGAAACCAGTATATATAGTGGGGCTCTACATATAATGATTTATTTGAAACCAGTATACATCGTTTGCCTACTAATATCAGAATAAATGTCCTTTGAGCAGGTTTTACTTGGACCAAGTGGTTTTTGTCTCCAACATTCTCGGGGACAGATTTGTATCAATGTTCCACCTTGGATTAAAAAATGGTTTAAATCAATTTTGTTCATTCAACTTGTATTTGGACAGTTACTCACATTGAGCCTACAAGTGAGACCTGTATTATTAATATTATTAATTGGTTATTATTAATAACATCGGTAGCTCAGTGGTCAGTGCCGAGGTCTTGTAATCCTGAGGTTGTGGGTTCGAGCCCAGGTTGCGTCAGGAGGTGCGTCCAGCGTAAACGTGAGTTGTCTCGCTGGGGGACCCCTGAAGAAGGAGCAGCTGACGGCAACCTTAACAGACATGCCCTGATGAGTGGAGTGAAACATCTGGCTGCAGATGTTCATATATCGTTGGTCTCTGAGGGTTTTTTAAATTCTTCTGGCCTCAGAAAGTGAGGGGATGCTCTACAAGGTCGCGCACCAGAAACTGCCTAAAGTACAAAAGGAACTGGCGTTCTCTTAAATAACTGTACAGGAGGCCTTTCAGAGTTTAGTTTTCATACAAAGCTTTGTTCCAGCTGTCATCTTTTATTTGATTTTAAATTTTACTCTTTGTTCTTCTCCTGTTTCTTTCTCAAATTTTACAGAAGCACATCCACGTCCATCCAAGCCTGACCCCCCGACTCGTGGAGGCTCGATCTGTACTGGCAGCTTGACCCCCATAAAGTCCTCTCCCATCCTCAACAACGGCTCTCCCACCATCCTGGGCAAGCGCACCTACGAGCAGCACAACGGGCTGGACGGTTGGTGTCCTCAGCTTAGAAACAGAAGATCGTCTGTTACACAACAACTGAAACCCCACACGGTTCTTTATTTAAAATCTTTTCCTTTCTTTGGCATGAAGTTGTCACATTTAAAGTTACTGGAATGGGAACATGTGTAGCAGTTTTAACCTTTATACAGTTTTTGTAAGATTTAAAATTAAAAGATTCAGCATGAATAAATGTGTAAATATTAGAGCCCGACCCAGTTTGGCTGTCACCAATACTGATACTGGGCGGGGGGGTGACGGCTGATACCTGATATAATGGCTGAAAATCTTTGATCTTTGTTCACCCCCAAGAATCTAAGAAAAGAGTGAGTGGGCGGGGCTTGTTTATTTAGCACAGCTGTTAGCAACCATGAAGCTAAGCTAGTCAGATCCAGCTGTACGTGGTCCCACAGCAGGTTTACAGGTGGAGCACTGGTCATAAAACCAGTCTAACGTGCGCTCACATTTTCTATCCTCCACTGTTCACCATAAAGTTATCAAGAGTGTTACATAAGTATAAATTAAACAAAGAAACATTCTTCCTGTTCATTGTTTAAACAGTCCCGTATGGTGAAGGTCTAATTAGCATTGACCGCAGCAGAGTTTACCTTTATTTGTAGAGAAGTAAAGATTTCAGACAAACAATTAATTTCACTGAAGACAACAAAGATAACGTTACTAACTCTGATATATTTTACCTCTACGTTAGATTTATTGTTCTGGATAAAGTTTTACAGGAAATAGCCTATGCTAGGTTAGCTAAACGTTAGCTTGCTAACTTGAGAGGCACGTAGCTGAAGACGAGCAGGTTGGAGGATTGAAGAGAATTTATTATTGTTGATTTATTTTACAGATCAGTTAAACTCATCATGCTCTGTTCAGTAAAATACTCTACACAGTGTTGCTCCCTGCATCAACAGTGCTGAAAGTGAAACTTAAGTGAACGGCCATGACTTGAAAGTTGTCTTCATGCGCCCTCTGCTGGATACATTGAACAATTACAGCTGGTTCAGCATTTTAGGGGTGAACATTAGAAGTGCTATATCGTATCACTGATACAATAGGTCTCCAAACATCTATCCATCCATTATCTTTACCTGCTGCTTCCTTTTTGGGTTGTGGGGGTCATTGATGTCCATGTCCAGCTATCACTGTGCGAGGAGCAGGGGACACCCTGGACAGGTCTCCAGTCCATCACAGGGACACTTGGAGACAAACAACCATTTCTCTCTCTCACCTCGGGACAGTTTAGAGTTACCAGTCGGTCTAACATGCATGTTTTTGGTCTGTGGGAGGAAACTGGAGCACCCGGAGAAAACCCACGCATGCACGGAGAGAACATGCAAACTCCACCCAGAAAGACCCCTGGCTGGGATTTGAACCGGCAACCTTCTTGCTGAGAGGCAGCAGCTCTATCAACTGTGCCACCGCACTGCCTCCCAAATGTCTATATCAGCCTAAATGATCAGCCCTACTGATATACGGGCCGGGCTCTCGTAACTAACACACAGTATGTGTACATGTTGAAACTTGTTGGCTAAGTGAAAAAGTACTTCTGAGGCTCAGGGCACCGATCCAGAGCCAAAGGGCGTAAAGACTTTTCTTTTTCATCGTTTTTATTGCCTGCCACCTAAAAACCAAGGTGAAGTGACAATGTTTTTGCCTGTGTTAGCAAAATATCTCATTGAAATTGAATGAAACTTGCAGGGAGTAATCACTGGCTATGCTCCTACAGCTGGTCAAATGTTGGAATGGACCCTTTTCAGGTTGGCGACCACAGCCACTTACTTTAAAACCACCGAGGGTCAGGAAAGACTCATTTTGACAGAGACACAGGTTAAACATAGTAATTGGTGGTAGTAGTGCAAAGTCATACACATGGTCTGAGCGTGATCTCATCATATTGCATTTGCATTTTACAACAGCTACAACTTTGTGTCATTTCTCCACATCAGATCATCTTAGTTTAAAAACGTGGAGACGAAGAGTGAGAGGATGTCAGACGGAGACTCGGCCTCACTGCTGCAGTTGGAGTCTTTGGTCTGTGTTGTCATGGCAACAGTGCAGAAGAGGAAAGTTGAAGCTCGGTGTCCTGAGGGAGCTCGTTTCCACCGCTCTGCGAGTCCGCCTCAGGCCCGGGCTACGATGATGTGTCGAGAGGAGATTAGGATGTAGAAGAGTGACGTCGAAGCTTTCATGAAAACGAAGCAGTGTTGGCCACGAGCTGCTGCTTTAACAGAGTCCTACTGAAAAGGATGAAACTTGGATTTGTATCGGAAAAACTCATTCAATTCACTTCAATTTATTTATGTAGCTCCAAGTCACAAGAGAAGTCATCTCAGGGCACTGAACAGAAACATTCATGTGTGTGTGTGTGTGTGTGTGTGTGTGTGTGTGTATATATATATATATATATGTGTGTGTATCTGCTGACTCAATGGATGTTTTAATGACTAATTTGCAGGTACCAAATCCAAAGGGTTGACTCCTCAGTGGGACATCATGGCCAAACGTGTGGGTGATGCAGGCCGGCCCTCGGCCTCCCTGCAGGAGGAACATGTGCACGAACTGGACTGAACTCTGGGAACAAGCTGTGCTGCAAACCCTCTAAGGTGAGACTCACAGAACGGGCTGCTGCTCTGCTCTTCTTATGAGAACGGAGCAGATCTAAAATGTGTGTGGACACAGGTGTTCAGTCTCTAACAGCAGCTGAGCTGCTTCAAAAAGAGCAACATTTCTGTGGAGCAGAGTCTTCCTCATTTCATTTCCCTCAGTTCTTGCCGAGGACACGAGATGGTTCTGGAGCCCCCAAGTGGTCAAAACGTCTTGATTGGATGAAACCTTTAAGAACAAATGTTTTTCTTTGTGTTTCGCTGCAGTGGAGATCTGAAATGGAAAAGGCCTTTTCCTCTGAACCACAGCCGTGGGCAGCTGAAGGGAGGTGAAGACGGCTCGTTGGCATCAAGCACGTTTCTTCAGTCCGTGCACGTCTGGCAGCTGAAGACTGATCCATCTGTTTGGTTTATCAGGAGATGAGCCTGACTGTACAGAACTGTGTTTATTACTTACATTTCTTATTATTACCGTCTTTGTAATTATTATTGTTATTATTTTGTACCAACTATAATTCAGCTGATTGTCAATCAAACGAGGGAAACTTAAAGTTTCATGAAAAAGATTGTGAAACCCTGAGATAAAGGGGAGAAGGAAGGCCACATAAGCCACTTGTATTTTCTACATTTTACTTTTTTAAAGAGGTTGGGTGAAACGGACCGGCAGTTTTTGTTTTAGCATCGTGGGGCTCATCTCGTCTGTTTCTCACTGAATCTTTGAACATTCTGTCTTTTCAGTGGATTTGAGTTGTTCATAGAAAAAGGTTTCCTCTGTGTGAACCGCTTCTGCTCTTTGTCCAAAAAGGTTTAATTTATTGGAAAAATGTGGTGTTTTTTCTACCTTTTTCACAAATAATGCATCTATGCCTCAGTATTGTAATTAAACAAGAAACTGATCTTTCCTGTGCTGTCGGTGTCTGTCCCTGGAGGCGTGCACGTGTTCACTGAACGTTCTTCATTCTTGCTGCTGTCGGACCGTTTCCTGACTCCACAGTTCAGCAGTAAATGAAGTTACTCCCATGGGCTTCATGTTATCAGTATTGGAACATTTCAGGGCACAGACAGTTGATTTGTAAGCAAACGTGTGAAAATGACTAAAACGCAGGAGTTCAGTCTGTTTTCGTGTCCATTTTTTCTGTTTGGCAGCGTTGCCGCAGTAGAAACAATTCCTGCGTTCACCAGAGCTGTTGGCCGACATTTGTTCTTCAGTAATAATGTGAACACAGCGCGCGACTCCTTTACTGATCGAAACCAGTTTATGTGACCGTGAACAAGGTGGACGTTCTCTGTGTCGTACGTTCCCACGGTTGTTACTGTGACAGTGGAAGAAGCTGCAGCTCCAACATGCTTCACTGCAGAAACATCAAGATGTAAGAAGGAAGTTGAGTTTTACATCACGGAGCTGCCTTGTCTTAAAAGGTTCTTACAAAATCACTTTCAGTTTGATGATTTTCTTTGAGGCGTTTTTTAAGTTTTGCCACATAAATTAAAATTATGTTGACTCGATTATTCAATGGCATTTTTCAGAGAGAATGCCTGAGGAATGGAGAAGTGCTGGTGGCCATTTTTAAGAACAAGGGTGATGTTCAGAGATGTAGCAACTACAGGGGAACTAAGATGATGAGTTACATGATGAAGATCTGGGAGAGAGCTGTGGAAGCAAGACTTGGACGAGAGGTGACTTTCTGTGAGCAGCAGGATGGTTTCATGCTGAGGAAGAGCTCCACAGATCCATCTTTGATTTGAGGATGATGATGGAGAAGAACAGAGGGTCAGAAAGAACTCCATTGTGGATTTAGAAAAACATCTGACAGAGTGCCGAGGGAGGAGGTGTGGTATGTTAGACTGGTACAGGACATGTATGAGGACAGCAGGACATGTATGAGGACAGTAGGACATGTATGAGGACAGCAGGAACTGTATGAGGACAGTAGGACATGTATGAGGACAGCAGGACATGTATGAGGACAACAGGACAGTGGTGAGATGTGCTGTAGGAGTGACAGATAGCTTCAAGGTGGAGGTGGGAGTGCATCAAGGATCAGCTCTGAGCCCCTTCTTGTTTGCTCTGGTGATGGACCGACTAACAGATGAGGTCGGGCAGGAATCCCCGTGGACGATGATGTTTGCAGACAACATTGTGATCTGTGGTGAGAACAGGTGGAAGAGAACTTGATGGAGTACATGTGCCTGAATTGTACTGAGACAGATGTCACAAAGGTGCAGGACTTCCAAGTACTTGGTCCAGAGAAACGGAGAGTGGTAAAGCGGTGAAGAAGAGAGTTCAGGCAGGATAGAGAAACATGAGGTGATCTGTGACAGAAGGGTGTCGGCAAAGGTTACAAGAGTCACCAGACAGTGGTGACACCAGCTATGTTGTATGTTTGGAGACACATCAGAGATAACGGTACAGGTTGAACAACTGGGAGATGATGTTGGAGGTCAGACTGAGATGGTTTGGACATGTCCAGTGGAGGGACGGTAGTTTGGACATGTCTGGAGGAGGGACAGTGGTTTGGACGTGTCCGGAGGAGGGACAGTGGTTTGGACGTGTCCGGAGGAGGGACGGTGGTTTGGACGTGTCCG